ATAAAATTAGGAGACCAAAAGTAAGCAAAAATTTGCAGGGAAAATTGGCTGTCAGACATACTAAGATGTTTCAAAAGTGGATGCATTTGAATAACTTTCAGGATACTTCAAAGAATTTAGGGTTCAAAACGAAAAACACTTGGTGTACACCAGATAATCATTGAACCAGCTTGTTAAAAGAAAAAAAGACAAAAACGATATCATTGCAGATTAAAGTGAAGAGTGACTAGTTTTAGATTATATGGTTGTATAAATTTAAATTACATTATAGAACATCATATCGTATCGTAAACAGAGAATCCCATGATGTCTCAATCGAATTATTTAAAGATTCGGGAGTTTATCGAATAATGTATGTGGATGTCATCTAAAGACATTTTTTTTTTTCCTCCTCCTGATGAAACAGCGGTCGAGCGGTGAAGTCTCTGAACACTGGTAATTCGGTCCGAGGTTTTCGAATCCCGTGAAGGGGCTGGTTGCATGGGCGTTTTCATGATTTTTCCCACATGTAACGTAACGTGTATGTGAGCCAGTTTCCCATAGTCCTCCACGAAGGCATCCCTCCCCTTAGGCAGATAACCCTAGTGTGCTTTGTCATAATTAAATAAACCAAAACCTCTTGAGGAAATCAGTCTTTCCTTTATCTCATACTTCAAAATGTTTACCTCTAAAGACTGATAAAGGCTGTGACCAAATTATGATGAAAATTGGAATTGAAGATTATTAAGTTACGGCAAAGCAGGGCTATTCTGCCTAAAAGGAGGATGCCTTTGTGAAGAACTTTCTAAGGGAAACCAGCTGGCATATACGTTACACATGAGAAAATGCACAAAAACGCCCATGCAACCAGCCCGTTTACCGGTGTTCGAACACCGGAGTGAACTGCCAGTGTTCAGTGACTTTACCGCTCGACCGTTGTGGGTTTTTATGAAATGGTAGGCGATAACTTTATTTAAAATGATTGTTAGAAATACCAAGATGTTTCGAAAAGTTGGATGCTTTTTTATATACTTGAAGAATGCCTAAAGAAAAAGAGCAAGAATGAAGTGGAATGCCTGAAGAAAAAAATAAATTTTGCGTAAAATTTAGTATTTGTATTTTTTTAAAATTTTAAAACTTTTTAATCTTATGATATTGATTCTTGCAATTTCAAAAAATAAAATATTGACTAAAACATATGAATAACATTTTAAGAAACCAAATGTAGGATAAAATTGTGTAAAGCAAATATGCACAATGATAAAACTGTTTTTAAAGCCAGTGTATGCAAGTCATCCTAAGTTAAATGTTGGTTATACATCTCTCTTATATATATATATATATATAATATATATATATCTTTCTGAACGGAACATTGAAAGCCATGTTAACTGTACTTTACTGTATTTTCTCTTTTAATATGTGCAGTTTTCAAATGTATCTTAGTCTCGGTTACAAAAGTATCTTTCGAAAGAAATGCAATTCAAATAAATAAAATCAAATCCTGGAAAATTTATATTAATAAATATATTTAAAATGATCAGTTTGAATTAATAAATAGAAATTTTAAAATAATTATCTGAAGAGACAGTTGCAACACTAACAATTAAAATAAAAGTTTAAAAATTTAAAATTACCTAAAATAGTAACTATGACTAAAAATATAGTATAAAGAAAACTATTAAAGAAAAAAAAAAAAAAAAAAAAAAATAAACGATGCACCTTTGATTTAAACTACGCAGTTCGAATGAGTAAATAGAAATTTTTGAAACCGTTATGCGAAAGAAACCATGCAACTTAAACAATTAAAATGAAATTCGAAAAAGAAAAAATACTTAAAATAATAACAATTATAATTAAAAATATAATATAAAGAGCATTATCTGAAAAAAGGAACGATCGTGACTCCCCCCCCCACGCACGAGGTAGAAAGGAAAAGGAAAATTGGTTGTCATATATTAAGAAGTTCGCCAAGTGAACTATTATTGGCACAACTGGAAAAAAAGAGTCAACATAAACTGTTGAATTTCTCCGTAAATTTCGCACCAAATTTTACAAAATTTAATATTTTAGCATAATATGAGTTGTAGAATCGAAATATTTAAAAAAAAATGGTATGTTAATTCAGAAAAAGTCCGATTTTGTGTCAAAATACCTATGTTAAAATAGTGTTACATATAAATCTAATATATATATCATAAGTCGCGCTTTCGAGACATAAAGAACACAATTTGAATTTTGTGAATGGGCCCAATATCACGGGAGATGTAGAACTCTCCCCCCCTTTTTTTAGCAGTGTACAAAGAATTCTTTTTGCATTAAAATATCACAAATAATGATTTTAATGTTTATTACAAAATAATTTGCAATAAAAATATTAAAATATGTAGGTATATTTTCAGAATGTGTGCTAGAAAAGCCTTAATCATATATGTGATTAAAAATTCATTCTATTATTTTTATAATACATTAACTCCGAATAAGTTTCACTTCTTTTATTTCTTTGTTTCAACTAAAGCTGGGAATGAGTTAATCACATTTTTGTAAGTTTTTGCAGCGTCTGTTGTGAAAGTATTGTTATGGATATACTTACAGCATCAGCTACTAATAAAAAAGTGAAAATATTTTAAACTAGCATTGATATATTTTCGTGTAATAGCATGTATTCTTTTATTTCAGATAATTAAAAGATAATGAAAATGTTCACACAAAATTAATTAGCTCCAATATTTTTTAAGTTAGGAACAGGAATAAAGAGGAGTAATTGAATATATGCACATTATTCAATCTCTAAAAATTATGTTAGAGCACTTAATGGAAATGGAGGAAAAAATATGACAGGATAAAATTAACAGTTACACATTCCATGCACAGGTGCTGCTAAACTATATACTACTCTGGTACTAATTTATGCATAATTTAATGATTTATTTTATATAATTTTATAACTAACTAACTAAAAAGATGCAAAATATATATCATGTATCAAATTATATGAATTATAAATAAAAATGTGATTCAAAATATTATTTTTGATATGAATAAAATGAACTAACTTACATAGCATAACTTAAATCTTATATAGTTTTTTCACTAATTCAGAGTATATTTTCAGCCATTTGCTTGTTTTCTAACCTGTTTTTCTTATTGGGCCAACCAGCAGCCGAGTGGTAAAGTCGCTGAACACTGGTAGTTTGGTCCAAGGTTCAAATCCCTATGTGTAATGTGTATACAAGCCAGTGTCCCTTAGAAAGTCCTCCACGAAGGCATCCATCACCTTAGGCAGATAGCCCTTGAGGCTTTGTCGTAGCTAAACAAACCAAACCAATATTTTTCTTATTGCCTCCAACTGAAATGTCGAACTCTTATGAATGTTTATAAATGGAAAAATAAATGAATTGTGTGATCTTTGATGGAGGGAAAACTGTTCTGAAGCTCAGAAATAAGATTTTTGAATTGCGCCCCCACCTATTCCAAAATTACTGCCATGAAAAAAAGCAGAAAGCATTTTCCATTTTTGTCATCGTTTTTCATCTGAACTAATGTTGGTACAGTTAGATAAGATGATAGAAAAATTTTAGATAAGAAAAATATCCAGTTTGAATCATTAGGGACATGTGCAAAGTTTTTGATACATCCAACAAAAGATTTTTATCTGTCACAGGATATTATACACAACCCGACGTTGAAAAGGCAACACCAAGGAGTGACCCGGAAATTATGCTATTTTCAAGGTAGACGAATGTTACCAAGTTATGTGAATCATGTGAAATGCGCAGCTCTCCAGTGCACGTTGAAGATTATATAAGGCAGTGTTTCCCAACCTTTATTTCCTTATGAACCAAAAGAAAGGTCCGCAAAAATTTGACAAACCTCCTATGTAGTCGTAAATGAATGGTAAAAAAAAAAGCAATAAAATTTGATAGAATATATATTTTTCATATTGCAAAATAATTGATTATATTAATCGTGAAACATTTAAATAAAACATTAATAAGACTAAAATGATGGCTATAAAAGTTGAAAACAAGATAAATTTAACAAACTGGTTCTTATGTTTTACATTTGGGAAAACTCTTAATGGGATTTTTGTGGTTGTTTGATAGAACAAAGCAATTCGAAGTTAGGCTCAACATCTGACAATTTCAGTCTTAGATCAGGTTCTGCATTTAACCTGTTTCTGTATTTATCTTTCAGATAAGTATATGTTGAAAATCCTTTCTCGCATAGATATGTTGTGCAAAATGGTAATAGAACTTCAATGGCTTTTTTTTTTTTTTTTTTTTTTTCAGAACAGGATATTCATTTTGTATACTGAGCCAGAAGTCAATTAAAGATTGATCTTTAAAAATTGATTTAAAGATGCAAAATATATATCATGTATCAAATTATATGAATTATAAATAAAAAAGTGATTCAAAATATTATTTTTGATATGAATAAAATGAACTAACTTATAAGAGAAATGTCACAAGATTACTCTATGAGTTTTTCTTTTTCCAGTATGTTTAGAGATGTTTCTGAACTTACATTTCCTTGAAATGGATTATGTATCCAGTTGTTTGAGATGGATATATTGCATCTGTTGGGCAGAGTCGTAGCTAGGGTTTTCAGCGCCCAGGGACAACTGAAGGTTTCGCGCCCCCTACTGCTTGTCGAGGATGGAAAACATTTAATTCTAAAATGTCGTAACATCAGTTTGGCGCCCCTTGGATTCTGCTCCCGGGGACAGATGCCCCCCTCTAGCTACGCCCCTGCTGTTGGGAAAATAGTCATCGAAAGTTAATCGAAGATAGTTCAGATGCTCACATATACTCCTTTTAATGTTTTCGTCAAGTTTAACAGAATTTTCTGATAAAAAAGTGCGGACAGAATCGAAACATCCATACTCATTCATCTGCAGGCATTGAATCCAAAAATTGATCTTTTTCAACATAGTCTCAATTCTATCATGTACACTGAAAATGGTGACACCCTTGCCTTGTAAAGACATATTCAATTCATTCAGTTTACAAAAAATGTCAGCTAAATACGCAAGTTTTTGCAGCCAAAGAACATCGGATATACAAGAAGACAAATACAAGAGACAAATGAAAGGCATGATCAATAAAAAATGCTTGAACTTCAGACTTCAATTCAAACAAACGCGTCAAAACTTTACCACGGGAAAGCCATCTAACTTCTGTGTGAAGTAGTAAAGAAATGTGGAAACTTCCAAAATCCTCACAAAGCGTATGGAATAGACGGCAATTTGTAGCATGCAATTTTATAAAGTTCACAATTTTCACAGCATCACTTAAAGTAGTAGATAACTCTGCAGGAATACGCTTACATACTAAAGCTTGTCTATGAATACAACAATGAGTCCATTGAATTTTCTCGTTGATCTTCTTCACCTGTGCCACAAAACCAGAAAATTTTCCTGTCATTGATTTTGCACCATCTGTACACACACCCACACAATAAGACCAGCTTATTCCATTCTTTTCAAAATACCCATTGATCATATCGAAAATCGCTTCTCCAGTTGTGTAGGTTTTCAAAGGTTTTGCAAATAGTACATCTTCTTGAACAATATTCGTAAAAAGATATCTAATGTAGACAAGCAAGACTGCGGCATTTGTTACATCCGTCGATTCGTCAAGTTGAATTGCAAAATAATTCAATTTTATTCTTTTTAGAAGTTCGTTCTCCACATAATTAGCCAAGTCATTAATTCTATGCGACACCGTGTTGTTTGATAAGGGAACTAGCTCAATTTTCTTTGCTGCCTTTTCCCCAAGCATACATTTGGCGATATCTTTCGCACATGGCCCAATTAAATTTTCTGCTATTGTATGCGCTTGTCTAAATCTTGCAATTCTATAACTTACTCGAAATGATGCTTTAAGGGCCATTTTACTATCTTCGTTTGAAGTCAAGAAAGAAGAAAGGCTACACTTTTTGATATCTGCTAATTTTCTTTTGAAATATTCAAGAGGTTTATCTTTGTGTGTTGGATGTTTTGTTTCAATATGTCTACGAAGAAGTGATGGTTTTAAACTGCTGTTGGCAAGAACCTTCGTTACATATAACACAAAGCGGTTTAGGTTCCGACTCATCCCCAGTAAAATGAAAACCCAATTGTAGATAGTCGCTGTCATATTTTCGCTTTTTCCCTTTTCTATCATCATTTCCTTTGTTTTCGTCTGGTGAAACGGTACCTCACTACAGCTTTCAGTACTATCATCTCGATTATCATGTCTCGTTTCTAAACGACCCGTTTTTAACCATCGATCCATAATAAAAATAAGCTATAATAATAATTAAATTAATAATTATTAAATCATTTACACGAGAACTTGACAATCACAGTATCACTATCACTCAAGCTTTACAAGTGCTAAGCCTATGTATGAACGTCGACAGACAAACAAAATAGACAGTTAGTACAACACTACTCTCCCAGTTCCCGGTTGTGGACAAGTATCTAATTCTAAAATCTGTAATAAACTGCCTTAATTTGATATTTATTTCCAATTGTATTGTAAAAAAAGAAATATTACATAAATTGGAAAACTGCTGCAATGATTTTAAATATAAAGCAGAACATGATACTAATCACATTGATAAAATGTTTTAAATATAAATAAATGTTTGTAAGAGGAATAAATTATAATGTATAAAATTGTTGATATAATTTGATATTGATGAAGAAATTTTGAAAAACAAAAAAGGAAAAAAAAGAAATGAAAATATTGAAATTTATTATAGATTTCTTAACAAACAGGCAGTGAACAATCTGTTTTACAGTAGGTGTGTTCTTTAATTTTTTGGGGGGCTTTTGATTTCAATGGTGTTTTAAAAAATCCGCCATTACAATATTATTTTCGCGAACCCCCTCTGCAAACACTGCGAACCCCCAGTTGGGAATCACTGATATACGGGAATGAACCTACCGAATTTTCAATTTTTGTGCCATTATTTCTGCTAGAGAAATCATCGTAGAAAATTGCATCTTGTCTCAGCAGACGTATGTAACAGCAGGGAATGCCAGCCGTCATCAACAGAGGCAGTTCCAGCAGACAGACAATTTAACGAGGGGCATGGTGATCGGACTGAGAAGAGCGAGTTGTCCATCCGGCAGATTTCAGCTGGCACACACTTGGACATGTCCACTGTGCACCGGCTGTGGCGACGATAGTTGGAACAAAGAAATGTGGCAAGTTCGAGGTGTGCCGGTGCAACCAGAGTAACATCAGCATGCGTGGATCGACATATCTACCGACAAGCAGTGGCACACCTACTAGCCACATATACTTCCATTCTGCAGCATGAATGGCACAGGGTCGTGTTCTCAGATGAATCATGCTTCTGTTTCTCCAATGATAGTTGCTGCATACGAATGTGACATCGATAAGGAGACAGGTCTAATACCAGCATCATGGTTTGGGACGCTATTGCATATGAGGTCACCTCTAGTTCGTAATCAGGGCACTATGACTGCCCAACATTACTTGGATAATGTGCTGCAACTGGTGACACTCCCCTACCTTCAGGGAATATGCCCTTTATCAGCAGGATAATGCCTAACCACATACTGCTGGCATCAGCCAAAGTGCTCTGTAAGGTGTACAGATGCTACCCTGGAGACTGTTCTCTCCTGATCTATCAACCATTTGAACACATTTGGGATGAGACTGGATGCCATTTGCAGACCCTGCCATTGCCGCATTCAGAAGACAAACTGTGTCAAATGGTTAACAGGGAATAGAGAGCCATTCCTGAGGACATCATCTGTAGTCTCATTGACTCTGTACCTAGATGTTTTGTGTATCGCTGTCCAAAGTGGTCCTGCAACCTACTGAGCTGATGCTGTTCTCGTTCTTTATTATGCATATCATTTTGAAAAAAAAAGATCACTTATTGTTCGTTGCTACCTCTCTCTGTCGTGTTTCATCACTTTCTGGTCACTACTTCTTGGTGTTGCATTTTTCAGTATCAGGCTACATAAGCTACAAAACCTATTACATGACCTGCTACATAAGCGACAAATTTTTACTCATATGTAGATATCTATATTTCGTAAAATCATAAATATCGGTACCTTATTGAAGTCACATAGATTTATGATACGTTATCTCCGCAAGTAACTGAACTGTCGTCGGATGAGGAAGGCTGAAAATGTTCCCTTTTTTCATCTGAAGAAAAAGCAGTTTCTAATTGTTTCTTCATCGAATACATTTACTCCTTTTTATCTTCACAGTCATTAACACGTGTCTTAAATGAGAGTGTAGGCATTTTATTTGACATTAGTATCCTTTTCAGATCTATTATTAGATCCAATCAAAACAGATGGTCATTAAAATGCCCCTACATAATCTGGCTAAGCATGTTTCATATTACACCTTTGGTCAGCCTTAGTGTAAAAAAAATATTTAATATTTACAGATTATGCATTGCCATATAAGTCGAAAAACGCATTTATTGATGTGATGGGAGTTTTCTGGAAAGGCAACATTATCTTCTTTCTGTGTGCTCCGAAATAAACAAATTATTTAACCAAATAGCACTTAATCTTTCTTTTTATTCTGCCGGAAGTAGGTTTTAAAAGCTTATTTAGTATACCATTTCGAGAACAAAAACATTTATCAAGGAAATGATTTTTTAAAAGTCATATACGTAATAATATGGCATATCAGCGAAAACCCATATTTTTGTATAGAACTTGGAACTGTAAAAGATTCATTCGTAGAAATTTGGAGTTCTTTCCCAAGAGTCTAGCTACCCACGTCAGATACAATTGCTTTGACTTGTAACCTTTGCTATTCAAAAGGAAACAGAATTAAAGACAGAAGATTTTTATTTCACTGCAAAATCAGTCTTCAAAACAATACAAATTGAGTTTTTTTTTTTTTTTTCGAAAGAGTTTAGTGTTGTGTTGTTTCGTTTTGGTTCTTTACATTTCTGCGATTCGTTGTCGTAATCCAATAATGAAACTTCTTTCACACATTATTTTATTTATATACAAGAGGTAATTAATTATGTTACAAGATATTTACATATAATTAACGTAAATTGATTTCAAAAGAATCATGCAGTGCATACTATCATGCAGTGCTATCAAAACTTATGGGAGAGCACGCCTGCTAATATTGTGCAGCCACCCCCGGCATTGTCCAAACCCTAACTGACTCCTCTCCTGTGGCAATCAATCGCCAAAGAGCCTTTTCAAGCAAGCCTTTTTCCTCGAACAAGAGGGAGGGAGGTATCAGACATTACACCCCCCAACCTAAGATTGTGATTGGAGTGCAAACCCAAGATCACATATCTGATAACCGTCTGATAGATTGAAATATCTCTATCATCAATTCATAGAAATTTCATGAATAATTTTTCATACAACTTTCTACCTTGATCATTACAATCACAAATAATAGATTTATCACTATTATCTATATAAAACACATGAAAGAAAAAAAAGTTTCTAATAATTCATAGAAATCACAGCAAATAATACGTCACGCCACTAACTCAGCATAATATATCTAAACATAAATACCAAAGTATGAAATATTAAAAATCCGATTAAAATTTACTTAACGCAATAACCATATGAGATGATGTTGTGTCTACGACAAAGTGCAATTATATAGCTCCAAAGCTGTCAAAGACAGCTTTTGCAACCTCGGCAGCTCTATCAGTATAAAGTAGGTCCACTGGGTCTTCAATGCCGATGTTAAAAAGTCTAGCCTGGATTGCTGGGCAGCTGAAGATGTGATGGCGAGACAGCGGGATGTCATCTGGGCAATGAGAACAAATGTTGGCGTAATTACGCTGTCCGTCTGCAGAAACTCTCATCCCTTTTAAATGATTTGTCCTAAGTCTGGTTATGATAGTCGACCTGTAAAATATAAAAGATAGATATGATTATTAAATGTAACAAAAAATAGCAATAAGAGGTATGTGTTTTTGTCATGGTTTTAAGCTTCCACTTAGTGTTTTTAGTCAGATATTGAATAAAGTCACTTATTTCAATATAGTTCACAGAGTTCAAGTGACACGGAACCACATAAAGTGTCCACTTAGTCTGATGTGAATCGCTCAGTTTACCATTGATGCCACTTAAAGTCACACAGAGTCCATACAATGATGGCATCTATAATCAGGAGGACTACCGCGCATCAGTCCTGTAGAGGTAATCAAGACAAAGCATCAGCATTATTAAGCTTTGCTTCCGGGCAATGAGAGATAGTTATGTCGTATTTCTGGAGCGCTAGTGCCCAGTGTTGAAGCTTGGATGACTGAGAAGCATTTTTAGGGATAAATGCGAGAGGATTATGGTCAGTGATCAATTCAATATGTGAGCCAAGAATCCAAGGCTCGAATTTCTTCAAACTCCATATCACTGTGAATGCCTCTCTCTCAATTGTTGGCCATGCCTGTTGAGGTTTTGTTAATTTTTGGCTTGCATAGCTGATAGGATAAAATTTACCTTCTCTGTGTTGTGATAAACAAGCACCAATGCCCATTAATGTTGCATCTGACTGTATTACGAAGGGTTCTCCAAGCTTGGGTGTAAAGAGATCAATAGCCTCCACTAGCGATCTCTTCAATTCTAGAAATGTTTCCTCATGAATCTCAGTCCAAGGAAGTTGTTCAGGAACTCCTTTTCTGGTTAATTCAGTGAGTGGGTATGCGATCTCAGCGTAACGTGGAATATATTCCCTATAATAATTGCGAAGCCCAATAAACTTCTTAATTCTTTTTTCGTTTGTGGTCGCAAAAGTTTCTCGATAGCTTGAATTTTCTCTGGATCGTCTGATGCTTTCCTGAACCAACAATATGCCTAAGTATTTGATCTGAGGTTTAGCGAATGAGCACTTTTCTAAATTAACTGTGAAACCTAATTCCTCTAATTTTGATAGTATAACTTCTAGATGATGCAAATGAGACAGCCAATCGTTTGGAAATATGGCTGTATCATCGATGTAAGCACGAGAAAAGTCTCTATATTTTGACAAAGCTCTGAAAAGTTGCAGCAGCATTCTTTAGTCCAAATGGCATAACATTGAAACAACATTGAGCACGATGTCTTTTAAATAAAGTGAGTTCCTTACTCTGCTCTTCCATAGGTATTTCCCAATATCCTTTCAACAAATCGAGAGTAGTAATAATATTTGCTCTTCCGATACAATACTCGAGTGCTTTGCTGTAATCTAATAAACCAAACCAAACCAAACCGTCTGATACAATACATCAGATCATTTATGTTTTCCATCAGGAAATCATCTGTTTTTGT